TGTGTGTGTGTGTGTGTGTGTGTGTGTGTGTGTGTGTGTGTGTGTGTGTGTGTGTTTCATTTTAGCACCAATTTAGAACCTGCATTTGTTTATAAATTCCCTGGTGACTGACAAGGGCAGCCATGTTTAAAATGCACTGATTTCCAGGAAAGTACGACTTGCCTCATCGTAAGAAAAATAATCTGAACTCACTTAACCACAAAACTACAATGCATTAAAAATATGTTAAGAGAAATAAGCCAGTCACAGAAAGACAGATACCTCATGAGCTCACTCAGGAGATCAAGAGTAGAATATAGGCTACCAGAGGTGGGGGAAGTGTGGCTGGGGGTCGTGGGGAGATGTTGGTCAGAGGATGCAAACCTCCAGGCAGACAAGAGGAGTGAGTTCAAGAGATCTATGGTACAACATGGTGACGATAGTCAAGGACAATGAGCTGCATTCCTGAGAAATGTTCTTGAAATGTGAAGTGTTCTCACCACAAAAATGATAGCCATGGGAAGTAAATCAGATGTTAATTAGTTGACTTTAGTCATTCCACAATGTATATAGACTTCAAAATATCATGTTGTACCCGGTAATTGCATACAATGTCATCTGTCAATTAAAAAAAGTTAGGCTTGAGCACGCGGGTTCGTCCCCTGGGCAACTAGTTGAGACCTCATCTCTATAATAAAATAAAAAAATTAGCCGGGAGTGGTAGCGAGTGCCTGTAGTTCCAGCTACGTGGAAGGCTGAGGTGGAAGGATCGCCAGAACCCAGCAGGTCGAGGCTGTGGTGGCCGGGAGTGGCCACTGCACTCCAGTCTGGGCGACAGAGTGAGACTCCAACTCAAAAACAAATTAATTAATCAATTTAAAAAAAAGTTAGAAAAACAGTCTAGGAGATCAAGTGTCTGGGAGTCAACAGAAGACTCAGTTACGTGCTACAGAATCTTGATTTGAAAGGGGTTTAGCTACCAGATAGGTACTAATGTGGGGTAAGCGCAACCCTAGATATAAAAATAAAGTCCGTACATGTTATATTACATTCTTTTACTGTTGAACTACTTCTTAATGTTAAGTTGTATTAGAACTGCTGCATTGGGCTGTTTCACTAGGAAAACAAAAGCAGACTGCTTTAATTATTTAAAACAGGAGGATTTAGTACAGTAATGCTCGTAACAAAATTACAGTCATCTAGTTTCCAATACTTATATTCTTAATTGATGTAATGTTCTGCAACTTCATTTTTGTGGCATGTTTCTCTAATTTTTAATAAAATCTTTTACTTATAAGTTTAATCTAATAAGGAGATAAATATTCGATTTTGAGTGGCAGTTCCACAAAATGCTAGCTTTCATCTCAACTCAACTCCTTACAGTGCTGGGATTCCACAGCAAAACACAACCAAGCAACAACAAGAAGGACTCCTAATTTTTAATAAAATATTTTAAATATATACATAAAGTTATATGTTTATAAAGTTTTGTCACTGGTCCCCAAGTAGTCTTTTAAGGTTTCTATTTTTTAACAAGTTATAGCCTTTAAATAATTTTAAAAAATGTTACCTTATTTACTTTTATTTAATATTAGTTACTTTAACATACAAATTTGTCTGCCAGGCTCGGTGGCTCAGCCTGTAATCCCAGCACTTTGGGAGGCCAAGGAGAGTGGATTGCCTGAGCCCATGGGTTCGAGACCAGTCCAGGCAACTTGGCAAGACCTTGTTTCTATAATAAATCAAAAATTAGCCAGGTGTGGTGGCATGTGACTGTAGTTCCAGCTACTTGGAAGGCTAAAGCAGAAGGATCACAGAAGCCCAGCAAGTCCACGCTGGGGTGGCTGTGAGTGTGCCTCTGCACTCCAGCCTGGGCAACAGAGTGAGATTCCACCTCAAACAAACAAACAAATTTGTAATAGAAAGAGACATCCTGACCATATAAATAGGCTTACCTGATATTTGAGCATGTCCACATTATAATATGTAGCCTGGGGTTTTTGTTCGGATACTTTCTTTAGGTGAGTCATCAAATTTGGCATGTTTACCCAGAATTCCTTGGTATTGGCATCGTTTTGTGTATTATCACTGTTCAGTTAGGAAGAAAACATGATTGAGTAACATCTTATAACAAATATAAACCACACAAGAAGCATCTTTGCACATCTTTGCACTTCTATATCCATCTCTCACAACTTGTAGAGATTAATACAAATCTGTTAACAGTAGTGTAGTTTTATACAAATATAGCTCAGAATAGTATTATGTTAATAGAGTAATACCCATAGGGAGAAACTGCTAAGTTGCCATGAATCTCAGTGAGTATCCAGTAATATTAACCAATCATCATGATAATTGCCTGCTTTAAAGAGTGAATTATTTATTAACCCAAACTTCATAGCCCTTTCTATGTCACCACAGTTGGTCTAAATTAGTCAGTTAATGCAATTAAGGAGCTGAATTCACTGATTTTCTTTGGAACTAACTTGACCGGTAGGTTCTCAGAAACTGTCCAGTTAAAGATTTGGTCAACTGTACAGTTTGCCAAATTACTCTGCTACCTTTTCAACATTCACAATACTTCATCCAAGAACATCTTCATTATAAAAAAGGCCACTTCACTCACAAGGTAATTCTAGAGTTTAAATGGCAGCGATCGTGGTGGTTACAATAGGGAAGAATCAAGTCTTGGAGTTGTGTCACCGTATGAGACTCATTAGCTGTGCTCAGAGGCCTGTCCACAGACCATTCTCCCAATGTATCGTGCAAATGCCTGCCTCAGTGATACAAGTAATCAGGCAAGTATAAAAAACATCTGCTCTCTCCCATCTAAAGAAGGAACTGATGGCTCGAGTGATTCAGTAACTTGGCATACAACTCATTTATCAACACTTCACTTTCAGGATATCCTATATAATACACTAAAAGTAGTTATAATTTCCTGAGCGCTTCTTATGAGCTGGGAATTATAAACTATTCCATGCCCTGCAAAGGAAGCATTACTATTCTTGTTTTTACAGATGAAAAATCTTGCTATAAAAAGAGAAAGAGGTCGAGCAGAGAGAAGGCGATATAGTAAAAAGTGAAAAAGGCAGGTCAGAGGTAAGTTGCTGTGATTCGGCCTCCAGAAGTGAAACAAATCAAGAAAGTCGAGTCTGAAAGCATCAGCGCCTTCAAGCTGCCATTGGCTTATTAGGAAGAAGTGGCTAAGTCTCAGTGTGACCTGTGTGGTTCTGCGTGCCCTGGTGTAAGGCTACTGAGGGCAAAGCAAAGCTCTTTAACTCTGGGAATGGAAGAAGGGGATTGAAAGACTCCTCGCCCTTGAGGCCTTGCTTCTGGTCAAGCTGAGCTGAGGATGCTGAGAAGGACTGTCCAAGCTTTCAGAGCTGTCACACAAGGAGGCAGGAGGTAAGAGTAACAGAGAGTTAGTGAAATGAAACAATTTGCTTAGGTCCCACAGTTAGTAAGAGTCTGGATCCCAGCCCAGGCCAGTCTACAGGTCAGGCTTTCCCACGACTCAAAAACAGAGGCTTGACGCTAAGGTGTAGCAACATGGCATTAATTTATTCTAAGTAGATCTGAATAATAATTGGGAAAGTCTCAATTATGCTATTTTAAAAAATTATCACTCAATGGCTAAATGGAGGAAAAAATAAAAGCAAAAAAAAAAAAAGACACACATTTGCAGAGTTTCGTAGCAAAATAAGCTATCGTGTGTCTATGGTAATTTCTCAGAGAACTTGCTTTAATAAGTATCCAAGAAAGCTTTGCCAATCAAATGCTTCCACTGAGATGGAATTCTCAAAAACTCAGGAAGTCTTGAGAATTCTTTGGTCTCATATTTGAGTTGACAGTTGTTCCTTTTTGTTGGTATTCTTTTTCTTTTTTGCATGCTTTTACATGCAAACCTCTTTCATAAGCTAAAAGTAGATATAAACTTCAATTTGGCCCCTGTCACAGGAATTGCAAACCTAGGTCTCTCCAGGACCATGGTGCTAACCTAAATGAATTCTTCTTCAGTAAACATAAAGGAGAGAATTGGCTGCGTCTAAGCTGATAGATGCTAAAGGCTTGTACTGCAGTGGAGAATAAAATGCATGGTCAACACCGTCTTATAAAAACTAGGAGTCGTGGTGGTCGTGGTGACAGGATGGCACTACGTAACAAAACCAAACAGGCTATATATGATGTTAGAGTCACCCAGCACACCCCTGCTACAATGATGAAGTACTTCGAGTTAATAAGGGTCCAGATTAATGAGAGTTTTTTTAATTTTTGTTTTTTTGCAAACAATAACTTAAGGGTCTGTATGATGCTTTGTTAAGCAAAAACATTTTGAGTGATATTTAATTCAATTCATAAGACTGATATGTTGATATATGCATACAACTTTTTTGCATATGCCTAGGAATTTGACAACGTAGCTGCCTAAAAAAGCAACAAAAGCTGTAACTATCAATTACATTTACAAACAAACTGGTGAGGTATTGGCACATAACTCCTCACCTCAGATGGAGGAACCTGGAAAAATAAAATTAACCGGCTCAACGCATCCATTAAAAAACAGGAAGGAAAACTGAAGTAAGAATGTGTTGAATTTCAATCTCAATCATCACATTTATTTTGCATCTTAGTGGGTGATCCTTTCTTTTCCACCCTTAAACCTGGAGTCAGGTTTTCCAGTTAAACCCCAGCAAGGACCTAAGAGGAGGAGGTGATCTTGGGAACCATCTGAAACAGACTCTATTGCCACCACCAGGATGAAAAAGTCTCCTTCAGTCAAGTCAGGGAGTGACTACACTGATCCCCTAATTTCAAGTACCATCTACATAAGGATCTGACTTGACTAAATTCTTTAAATTATGATAGAGTGGTCATTCATTCGACAGATATTACTAAGGTCCTTATCAGATGCCAGGCATAGTGGAAGGTTCTGGGGAGACAGTGGTGAGACGAGAAACCATTCCCTCGTGGTTTGCGCAGTATTGTAGGGGAGATGGATGAATGGTATGCACAAATAGATACATGTTACTAATTGCAGTAAGTTCTACAAAGCTAAAGAACAGGATACTTGAAGGAGAACAACAAGGGGACATACTTGGGTTGAGACTGGTGGGTGGGGATGGAGAAGAAAACGGTAGCCGGGGGAGGCAGAGTGGAGCGGAGACCCCAAGGATGAGTAGGAGGCAGGAGAAGAAGGGAGGACATGGTGCTCGAGGCAGAGGAAAGAGGCACGAGGGAGCCATAATGAGGGCGAAGACAGCCTGCTTCTGAGACTGCTGGGTCCAGCTGGAGCTATGGGGATTCTGAGGCAGGACGCTGAGAGCTGAGAACAGAGGGGCAGGCAACAGGGGACGGCTCAGGCCTCAAGGGCCATGGCGACAAGTTTAGACTCTGGAACAAGTGTTGCGTGAAGCCACCAGTGGCTCTGAGCAAAGATGACCTGATCAAGGACATGCATTGGGGTAGGGCGGGACTGGACTCAGGGAGGGAGGGAGAGAGGGAGGGACGCAGTGGCTGTGGTCCAGTGAGGTGACAGTCATGACTTGAACAAGGGAGGTTAAAGGAAAGGAAAAGCCATTCGCTTCAGAGAGAGATTTTTAGATGGAAGATCAGGACTTGATGATGGAGGTGAGGCTGTCAGGAAGGACTCCTTTTGTTTTCTCCACTGCAAAAAATTAACTTGATATGATCGATTATTTTAATAGCATGCATGTAGCTATGTCTGTGTGAGTGTTCATGTGCAGAATGAAGACATCACATTCAGGCTGAATAGTTAGGAAGTGTGAAGATGTATATTTATATAAACAAACTTGCATAAGTTTCTTGGATGCCATACATGTAAAGTTCATCAAACCATTACCATAGCAATGAAATTATGTATTTCACAAAGATGGCTTTCAAATTCATGTGATGAGTCGCTCACGGTTCAAATATTGGATTTAAAAAGATGCTAAAACACCAAAAAGATCTTATTCCTGTTATTGAGCTCCTTTTCCATCATCCTCATCCACTGTCTACTGATAATAAACAAAATACATGATGAATAAATTGTCACTAATTCAGATTTTATTACTCAGAATGTCTCTTTTACCACTTGAGATAGTTGACCACTGAAACACACATATGCAGAGTTACACACACGCACACACACACACTCACACAATCACCCAATACAAACTCTGACAGCTGGCAAAAGTTCTGGGTCTGAATCTACAAGCATATCTGAGTGGGGGTAATTTTGCTCTAGAGCTACTCTCTTGCTAAGATATAGCCTCCTCTAAGTATATCCTTCTCTAAGTACAACATTCTAAGTCATATACAACTCCACAAAAGTTATGCAAAATCATATTTACCAGCAGAGAAGTTGGGGGTTTGGCAGGACGTGTTCTAACCTGCTGAAATTTATCACCCGAAAAGTCAGAGCTGCTGGGGACGGGTTGTTGGCAAAATGTCTGGTGATGCCGGCAGGAAAGGACAGTACCATTTCTCCAGTAATCTTAACGATACATCTGGCATATCAAAACACAGAAAGGAAAGAGAGGAAACCCTGGTCAGCACACCGCAGATCCAAACAGCTGTGGGAAAGAAAAGATTAATGTAACTGTGCCAAACAGCAGAGAAGATGAAAGCCAGGCTCTTACAGTTCCACTTTCAACTGCTAAATCATTCCGCAGTTGGGGTGTAGGCAGAACGGAAAGAAGAAAAGTGCAGCTCCTCTCTTCCTGTGGTAGAGTCCATAGATTCAAAAATAGAGCCTCCTTCCTCTCACTGTGATTTCTGAATTGGTGGAGCGTTTTGAAAATCTCAAATTGCACAATGTTATCACATTATTTACTGGGACTTACTATAGTTCTTTGAGTAATTTCTTTTTTTTTTCTTTGAGTTGGAGTCTCACTCTGTCGCCCAGACTGGAGTGCAGTGGCCACTCCCGGCCACCGCAGCCTCGACCTGCTGGGCTCTGGCGATCCTTCCACCTTAGCCTTCCAAGTAGCTGGAACTACAGGCACGTGCCACCATGCCCAGCTAGAGCATGTTCTTTCATGAATTCATGAGATAAAGTTCTTGCTTCCTACCTGCTTCTTCATTCCATCAACTTGTCTATTTGGTCAAAATTGTAAAATCAGTCATATATGTCAATACAATCAGAGGCCAGTTTAAAAATACTTCTTTAATAAGTTTTACTTATTTATCGTCTAAAATTCCATAAGCTTGTGTGACAGGAAACCATCACATAATCAAGATAATGACGATTTCCATCAGCCCTAAGAGTCTCCTCGCACCTTTTCGTAATCTGTCTCTCCCACCTTTCCATTCCCCCCGCTCAGCAATTGTTAATATGCTTTCTGTCACAACGCGTTAGTTTGCACTTTCTAGAATTTTATATAACAGAATCATAAGGTATGCTCTTTTTCGAGAGGGGGGAGACAGGTCAGGCTTCTTTCACTCAGCATAATCATTTTCAGATTCACCCATAGAGTTGTGAGCATCAATAGTTCTTTTTTATCATTGCTGCTGTGTAGTGTATGGCTACACTTTAATTTTTTAAATCCATTCACCTATTGAAGACCATTGGGTTCTTTCCAGTTTTCGCCAATTACAAATGAAGATGTGAGGAGTATGTGAGTCTAGGTCTTCGTATGGACATGTGTTCTCATTTATCTTGGCAAGCACAAAGGGGAAAAATCACCGCTCACAGGGCAGGTGCTCCTTGAACTCTTAAAGAAACTGCCCATCTACTAAAGTGGAAAATACGGCCATGCGTGAGGACGTCAGTTCTTCCACACCCTCATCAACTCTTGGTAGAGTCTGACTTTTTAATTTTAGCCATTCTAATAGGTGAGTAGTGGTATCTTGTTGTTTAATTTGCATTCCCTTAAGGGCTAACGGTCTTCAGCATCTTTTCAAATGTGCTTATTTGTCATCAGTTATCTACTCCGATAATGTATCTGCTCAAATTCTCTTCAACGTTTTCTTTTCTCTTTTTAATTTTAATATGTGGGGTTATATGTACAAATGTTCATTATGCAGATACCCTTGTTGATGAGGTGTGGCCCCTCCCTCCCCTGGCAGTTTCCCACTACTGTCAATCCCTTTCTTATAGTATTACAATAGTTGTTCAAGGTCTGCTTATGAGTGAGAACATGTGATATTCTGTTCTTTGTTTATGTGATAGATCACTCAGTATTTATAGACCCTAAGTCCACCCACGTTGGTGCGAAGTTCATAATTTTGTCCTTCTTTATGGCTGCGTAATATTCCATTGTGTATATGTACCACATTTTTAAAAATCCAGTCGTCTTTCGATGGGCAGCACAATTGGTTCCACGTTTTTGCTATTGTGAATAATGCGGTGATAAACATGCTTACCCAGGTATCTTTTTCATAGAGTGATTTGAGTTCCTCCAGGTATATTTCCAGTAGGGAGATTGCGGGTTCATATGGAAGGTCGATTTTTAGATCTTTTAGGAATCACCACACTGTTTTCCACAGAGATGGTACTAGTTTACACTGCCACCAACAGTGTAGAAGTGTTCTCTTTTCACTACATCCTCTCCAGCATCTGCTGTTTTTTTAGTTATTGCTGATGGTCATCCTGACTGGAGTTAGGTAGTATCTCAGTGTGGTTTTAATTTGCATTTCTTTGATGACTAGTGAGGCTGAGCACTTCTGCAAAAGCCAGTCACATTCTTATACACCAACAATACACAAATAGGAACCCAAATAAAAAGCACAATCCCATTCACAATAGCCACAAAAAAAAAAAAGAGAGAGAAAGAAATACCTTGGCATCTTCCTAACCAGAGACATGAAAGACTTTTACAACCGAAAACTCAATACACTGCTCAAAGAAATCAAAGATGGCACAAACAAATGGAAAAATATTCCATGCTTATGGATTGGAAGAATTAACATTGTTAAGATGTCCATCCTACCCAAGGCAATCTACAGATTTAATGCAATACTCATTAAATTACCAGCAGCATTCTTCTCAGACCTAGAAACGACAATACAGGAATTCATATGGAAACATAAACAACCACAAATAACCAAAACAATCCTTAGCAAAAACAAAACAAAAAACAAAAACAAAGTGGGAGGTATCACCCTCCCAGACTTTAGACTTTATTAAGAAACTACAGTAATCAAAGCAGCCTGGTATTGGTACGAGATCTGACATGCTTTTAACTACAGTCTTTTTGTTCTCTTATTGAATTTTGAGAGTTCGCTATACATTCTTGATATAAATCATTTATCAGATATATGATTTGCAGCTTGTTTTTTTCTTTCTCTTAAGAGCCCCTTTGAAGAACAGAAGATTTTTTTTTCCTGATTAACTTTTTAAAAAAGTCTTTACATTTATTTTAGAGTCGTGGGGTACAAGTGAGGGGTTGCTATATAAGTAGGCTGCATGCAGGTGAGGTGTGGGCTTCTAGGTGGCCATCTCTCCCCTTGGTGATGGACCAGGTACCCTTTGTGTCATCACACGCCCCTCTGTCCTCCCTCCCTCCTCCCCCCCCTCGCAGTGCCCCGCATCTGCCAATCCTACTCTTGTGCTAGTTAGACTAGTGTTCAGGGACTGCTTATGAGTGAAAACATGTGGAATTCAATTCTTTGTTTCTGTGATAGTTCTCTTAGTATGATGGTCTCTAATTGCATCCAAGTTGCTGCAAAGGCCATAATTTCGTTCTTCTTTATGGCTGCATTGTAGACCATTGTGTGTATGTACCACATTTTCTTTACCCAGTCTACTTTCGATGGGCATCTAGGTTGGTTCCGTGTTTTGCTATTGTGAACAGTGCAGCAATAAACATCCGTGAGCAGGTGTAGGTGTCTTTTTGGTAGAGTGATTTATGTTCCTCCAGGTGAATTCCCAGAAAAGATTGCTGAATCTCATGGAAATTCAATTTTTAGTTCTTTCAGAAATCGCCACACTGCTTTCCAGAAAGGCTGAACTAGCTTACATTCCCACCAACTGTGTGGAAGCATTCCCTTTTCTCTGCAGCCACACCAGTACCTGTTGTTTTTGACTTGTTAATGACAACCATCTTTACAGGTGCTAGTTGGCATCTCATTGTAGTTTTGATTTGCATTTATCTGATGATTAGTGAGGTTGAGCATTTTTTCATATGTTTGTTGGCTGTTTGCATGTTTTCCTTTGAGTTCTTTGTCCACTATTTATTTATTTTAAAATTTATTTTGAGTTGGAGTCTCACTCTGTCGTCTGGGCTGGAGGGCAATGGTACGTTCCTGGTCACCACAGCTTCGACCTGATGGGCTCAGTGATCCTTCCGCTTCAGTCTTCCACATAGTTGGAACTATAGGCACACACTACCACGTCCAGTTCTTTATTTATTTTTTGATTTATTGTAGAGACGAGGTCTTATCAAATTGCCCAGGCTGGTCTCGAACCCCTGGGCTCCGGCAATCCTCTTACCTTGGCCTCCCAAAGTGCTGGGATTACAGGTTTGAGCCACCACGCCCAGCCTTTGTCTACTTTTTAAATGGAGTTGCTTACTTTTTTCCTTTTACTTCGTTTGAGTTCCTTGTAGATCCTGGATGTTATGCCTTTGTCAGATGCATAGTTTGCAAACATTTTTTCCCATTCCATGTGTTGTCTTTTGATGGTGTTTTTTTTTTTTTTTGCTGTGCAAAAGCTTTTCAGTTTGATAAGATTCTCACCTGTCTATCTTATATTTTGTTGCATTTGCTTTTGAGGACTTGAACATGAATTTGTGGCCTATTCCGAAATCCAGAAGGGTGCTCCCTATGTTTTCTTGTAGTTTGAGGTTTTACATTAAGTCTTTGATCCATCTGGAATTGATTTTTGTATACAGTGATAGGTAGGGGACCAGTTTCATTCTTCTGCATCTGCCCAGTCAGTTTTCCAAGCACTGCTTGCTAAATATGGTTTCCTTTCCCTAATGTTTGTTATTGCTGGCTTTATCAAAGATGAGTTGTTTGAGGGACAGTGTTTTTATTCCTGGCATCTCTGTCCTGTTCCATTGGTCTATATGCCTATCCCTGTATGGGTACCATGTCATCTTGGTTGGTGTTCCAGTTCAAGGTCTGGAAGTGTGACACCTCCAGCTTTGTTCCTTTTGCTGAGGATTGTTTTGGCCATTAGTGCTCTTTTCTGCTTCCATATGAATTTCCATATTGTCATTTCTAGGCCTGTGAAAAATGATGTTGGCGATTTGATGGGTATTGTGTTGGATCTGTAGATTGTCTTGGGTAGACTGAAAGTCTTGACCATATTGACTCTTCCAGTTCACGAGCATGGAGTTTTCTCATTTGTATGTAACATCCTTGATTTCTTCGAGTAGCGTTTTGTAGTTCTCAAGAGCAGAAGTGTTTAATCCATCATTTACTCTTTTATGGGTTGTATCCCATCCGGTTATTCTTTTGGATCTTATCTAAGAAATCTTTGCCAAACCCAAGGTCATAAAGTTTCACCTGCATTTTCCTTCTAAGAGTTTAAATTTGTTATTTAGTTTACATTTAGCTTCACTAGCCAGCTCTATCACCCATTTTAGTTTTACATTGAATACAGTGTGAAGTAGGGATCTCAGGTGTGTGTGTGTGTGTGTGTGTGTGTGTCCAATTGTTCAGCACTATTTGTTGAGAAAAGATTTTTCTTTCTCCACTGAATTACTTCAAATATTTCATTGAATTATGTTGTCCATATTTCCGGATTTCTTCTTTTGTTCCATTGATCTATGTGGTCTGTCTCTAAAGCAATATCACACTATCTAGATTATGGTAGCTTTATAATAGTTCTGGAATCAAGCAGGCTGATTCCAAACTTTCTCAAAGTTGTTTTGGCTATTGCAGATCCTTTGCGTATCCATGCTCAATTTAGAATCACTGTGTCAATTCTACATGAAATCGATTTACTGCCTCTCAGTTCCAATTCACCCTTTAGGGCCTACTCTGAGAAAACTCGAGGACCTTTAAAGGGCCTTTCACATGCTTTCTTTTTTGCTCACAGACACCACATTAACTCTGTCAGGAGAGGGCGCTGGAGAGACACTGCAGGAGGACAGGGCTTTCCTTTTCTGTTCCAGCAATCTTGTGAGGCAGGCTCCCAGCAACACCCAGGGCTTCTCTAGTGCCGGGCTTCTGCAGGGCTGGAGGCTCGTAGGGGGGTTGGCAGAGTGTGTGGGCTTTTGCAGTCCACGTGGCTTTGCCAGTGCCCAGTAGCACAGACAGTTTCCCTATCACCCAGATCCTGTAGTTCAAGTGTCTGGACTGTCCCAGAACCCAGATCCTGCAAATCAGGTGAGTTCTCTGGCTCCAGGCTCCCACCACGTTCACACCTTCTCCACACTGGCTTTGGCAGCACTTCGTGACCAGCAGCCCCGGCTTCCTCTGGCACCTCCCTCGGCCAGCTCTGCATGGGTGCTTCTGTGAGACCCCTCCCCAGCACCCTGGGAGTCTGGGGGTTTCTCCATGTGCCATGCCTGGTCACTCTCACGGAGGCAAGCTGGAGCAATCCTAGGCACACCCCACCTCTCGGGGGTGGCCATCTTTCACCTGAGGTCTGGCGTCTTGTAAATGATTGTTTCATATATTTTGCCAATTTTTTTGAGCTGTTGAATTGGTCCATGACTCTATCTTGGCCAGAAGCAGAAACCTGACAAGCCTTGCTCTTCTTTGGGAAGCAGTGAATACTTAAAATAATGAGCATCTTTACAGCTTCCCCATACGTCTGAGTAACTGACGCATGTATATTTCTTCAGTTCCAAGTTTAGAGATGTACTTTCTAGGGAAGCCGAAGTTAGTGAATGAAAAATCTGCCTACATCTGAGCATGGGGACTCTTATTGTCCTCTGGTCACCTTGTATAGTGTTTTAGTCTGATGAGACATACCTCGTTCAGGTGAGGTGGTTCTTGTATGTGCTCACTATAGCTTATGTGAGAATGGCTGCACACTGTTGCCTTGTATGTACAAGGCTGGGTTTAGGGCAAAAGCGTGGCAAGTGAGTTCCTGAAGTTGCTGTGTGTCCCTTTCTCACTCAGATGTCACATCTATGACTTTGTGCTGATCTGAATAAGGATTTCAGTTTCTGGAAGTTTGCACCTCCGTCTCTCTGGGAGAACATGGCTACCTCCCTGTTGGGTACAAATCGCCGTCTTCCTTCTCGGCCTCCGAGATCTACCAGATTCGTTTGTTTACTGGCGTTGAGTTGGTTCTGAGCCTGGACTTCCTTCCACTCAAGTTGCGCCTACTCCAGATACCTGTCAACATGCGGACACATGGAGTGCTATGTGGCAGCTCTAGGAGAAAGCTGCAACCAGGAAGAGCATTCCTGAAGTGAGGTCTCAGTGTCCACTGTCCCTCAGTACGTTGCTGTGAGCAGTGGTATCTCCAGTGTTTCTCAGCTGTAGGAAATCTTCTCAGTTTTCTTTCCAGATTGATAAAAATGAGATCTCAGTGGTGTCTTGGCAGGGGATAAAATTTCTCTTTTGAAAGCAAGTCAGAGAAGGGAAGAGGTGGCATTTATTAAGTCAACAAACACGGATTCACTCCTAACCATGCAAGTTGTTGCTTTTTGTTGTTTTGAGCAGGGAGGCAATTAAAAAATGAGCAAAACAGCCCCTGCCTTCAAAGAGCTTAGAGTGTTGGGTAGAAGATGGGGGAAATAGTCCATATAGTGCAATAGAGGAAGCACTGAGGCTCCTCAAATATATTTCTGCATCTCAACTGGGTGGGGTGACTCACGCCTATAATCTCAGTACTTTGGGAAGCTGGGCGGAAGGATGACTTGAGGCCAGGAGTTCAAGACCCACCCAGTGAAACCCCATCTCTACAAAAAATTTTTAAAAAATTAGCCAGGTATGGTGGCCTGCATCTGTAGTCTTAGTTACTCAGGAGGCTGAGGTGGGAGGATTATACATGCCCAGAATTTGAGGTTGCAGCGAGCTAAGATCACATCACTGCACTTTTGCCTGTGCGACAGAGTGAGATCCCGTCTCAAAAACAAAAACATCGACTGTCAGAGTCAGACCTTTGCTGATTTATAATCCAGTCAGTGTCTAGCCAACCTAAATTTTCTACATAAAAATTTAATATTTTCTATACTCACTAAGGGAAAACTTTAAAAAAAAATCTTGACCATGGTTCCTCTCAGTGTGTAAAGTGGCTACATTTCACGTGTTTGAATTGTGGAAACTAGAAGTAATATGATATGGAAATATAAATAAACGCTTACTTTATGAACCCAATTTGAAACCTTGTACGCTCTATAGATGAGACATTTGTCAAGAGTGGCAAAATTTTAAAGTCAGCTGACCAGGTGGCTTGGGAGCTGGGTCTTTCCTCATACCACTGGCAGCAGCTCGTTAGCTGGTCACGGAAGCACAGGCCAAACACAGGGAATGGGTAGATTTAAATTACATAAGGTCATCAGCAATGCAACCCTCTCATAAACGTGGCTTCTAGGCATGGCTTACTCACCAAGCCCATGCCCTCTTGCTCAGGTCCTCTGTGGTCACGTAGCTTTGCTCCTTTTATTTATGATTCCTTTTGGCTTACACACTACTTTTTATATTACAAGGCTCAGTTCAAAGGAAGTCCTTTCTGAAGCCTTTCTCAGCATCCTCTCCATTCATCCTGCCTCGGTGTTCCCTTTTTCTGGGTTGCCTTGGACACATGTACAGACTTTTTTTTTTTTTTTTTTTTTAGAAAACCATGTTGTGGTTTTTTGCACACCTTCCCTGCTTGCTCTTGTGAAGGCAAGCTCTGTGTCTTCAGTTCTGGGAGGGTAGAGGTGCACAACACACAACTCAGAACAAGCAGAAACTCAATGAAATGTTTTACAAATAAATCAGCACATTTAACAATTATATGTTATACTTGGGATGTTATATGTAACTGGTATATACAATATGCCAGGCACTATGTCATGTGCTAGAATGGGCAGTGACACATAGGACAAACATGGTCCCTGTTGCAGCTGCTCATTTACATAGGGAGACAGGTACTGAATAAATAACTAAAATATGATGACAAGAGAAGGATAGATTGTAGCTGAGAAACTTTATGTTTTTATTTTTAATTTTTAAATTTTCTAGTTGGAGTCTTACTCCGTTGCCCAGACTGGAGTGCAGTGGCAGTCACGGCCACCCCAGTGTCAACCTGCTGGGCTCCGGCGATCCTTCTGCCTCAGCCTTCCAAGTAGCTGGAACTACAGGCATGCGCCACCACACTCCGCTAATTTTTTGATTTATTGTAGAGATGAGATATTGTTAAGTTGCCCAGGCTGTTCTTGAACCCGTTAGCTCAGGGGATTCCCTCACCTCAGTCTCTCAAGTCTAGGATTACAGGCTTGAGCCACTGCACCTGGCCAAGAAACCTTAAATTTTTCTAGGGGATTAGAGAGTTAATCCCTAACCCTTATTTATTTTTTAGCACCAAAGTTGTTTACATAGAACTAACAATGGGAGGAGAAGTGTTTTCCCAGCCAGTTGCCAAGGTCAAGGAATTTTTTGCCTGTGAGCTACTGAGAAAGATGTCGGAATACCTGTTACAGGTGCTCTGAATATCCAGAGAAAGAGTGTCACTACCTTTGAGTGGGTATGTATTCTAGTATGTAATAACTAAGGTGGTGCATTTTTGTCTCCACTGCATCATCTGCAAACAAGTAGCACCAATGCAAGATGTAGAGAAACACCAACAAAAGTAAATCCAAACGCCTTTTCGGCATTGCTTCTCTATTTGGTGCCTTGGCTGGCTGTACTTACCCCCGGTGAAAGAACCTGAGTTTAAAATGATTCACTGCCTGGAGATGAAATGAAATATAGAAGGCTGTCAATTCTTTTTCTTTTCTTTCTCTTTTCTCTCTTTCTTTGGCTAGTTTTCCTCATATAGTAAGGGTAACATATAACTTGTCCCCTTCCTGCTCTAGGTGTTTTGGGAAGGTATTTTTTCTTTCCAATGCCAAATTATTTTAATTTATATGTGGGCGATTCCCCTTTGGGAAAGACTAAGACAATAAAAGACATGATCTGGACATTCACTTTCTTGAGATGATACATTTTCTCACTGTCAACTGAGACAGTGACAGTTACTTGCAACCAAAGCTGAATCAAAGATTTCTGAATAGTAAGATCCTTGTTGTTGTTGCTTGTTATGTCTTGTTTTATGAAACAGGGTCTCACTCTATCATCCAGACTGGAGTGCAATGGTGTGATCACAGCCCATTGCAGCCTCAAACTCCTGGCCTCAAGTGATCCTCTCACCTTAGTCTCTCAAACGTTGGGACAATGGATGTAGGCCACCTTACTTGGGCTTAGATAGTAAGACCTTTTGAGATATATATGTATATATATATTTAAAGCAATACATGAATTTTCCTAATGAAATTTTCTCCTTCTGTTCTGGGTGTGCCATCTACTATTGTTAACTGGATTTTTGTTTGATTCTAGGATGAGGAATAAAATAGTTATATTTAGGTGTCCCCTACTAGATAGTGGGTAAGTGCCAGGCTTACTTGCTTGGATCAGCTCCTTTGAAGTAGGCATTGACCGTTTCTGTAAATGCTGCAGCGACAGGGAGAGTGTCCTGGGCGCCCATGGTGAGGGGGCTGGGGCCTCTGGAAGAGCCTGCAGGAAATGAAAAGCTGTCACTTTTTATGGACTCACACGACACCCTAGTATACGTGAAGCTAAAAGCCCACTAAAGGATAAAGGAACACAATCTATCCCTTTAATCTAAAAAAGTAAATTTGCTAAGAGCCACAACTCTGTATCATCCACATGGAGCGCAAGTATTCGAAAGGAAATATTTGGCTGGTTTACAGGCAAACACACTTGAAATTAATTCAATTATGTATTTTACGACAGAGGAGAAAATCCAAGCAGAGGAACAAAATCACAGGGGTTTTCAAATGTTTTGCAGAAAACTTAAGGCAGTATTTGCATGACAGTTTGTACAGCAGGTGATTAATAAAGAAATGATTAGATTCCTATTTGAGTATTCAACCTAATCAATTACCCATACTCAAAACTGTTTTTCATTTCTTCATTTTGAAGAGATAAAAAGCCAAGAGGTGTCATGTAATACCTTGGTCTTTTCTGGATGATTTCCATTTCAGAAGGTCCAGTCAGTTACTATCAGATCAAGTCAGCTCAAGTTTACATGTCCAAAAAACATACACAAACAAAATACACACATTGGCTTAGCACAACACATACATGCACTAAATACACTGTTAACAGTAATGGCAGTGCACACGTTTACTGAAAATCTGGCATACACCAGGCAGGGCACTAGCGGCCTCCCGTAAATGACCTCATTCGAGCGCCTCTTCAGCCCTGTGGGACAGGCATGACATTTCTTATCTTACAAAAGAGGACACAGAAGCTCAAGAGGTAGCTTGCCGAGGTCATGTAGTTATAAGTGGCAAAAGAGCAATTCCACCCCAGATATGCCTCTCTATAAAGCTCAGGCTCTTCCATTGTACCACACAGTAGATCGAAATGAAGCACTGTCCCATGTCCTCTTGCTGTAACTTGTAGCTTCTGAAATTGTCAAAGTTCAGGGTTGTTGTCTTTGTTATTGATCTCCAGGCACAGTACCGGGTAGTAAGGTCTTAGTGGCGAAGCACAGGATTTAATGAAGTCATGTGTTCACTGCTTCGCTTTCCTACCAAACAAAACACATATATGCCCCCACCTCAGCAAAGACCACATACTTGAGTGTTCTCTTGTTTTCTTTTGCCTCCAGCAACTCTGTTCTCTTCTCCAGCTATGAAAAGATCGACCCTCTGTGTACCTCCCTCTTCAGTAAAGCTTTCCTTGGCCACTCTAGTCGACGCCAGTCTTGTTTCTATCTTCCCTTGGCTTTCAGTATCTGGATCTGGTCATTGATCATTCATGTAGCAAACATTTGTGTAATATCTACTGTGTATCAGGTATTATGGTGGGCGAGGGGGATTCAAAGATAAATTGAACAAGGTCTTTGTCCTCAGTGAGTTACAGCCCAATGTGCTTGCCATCAGCCCTGCCATTAGCATCGTCAATATTCCCCATTGTTTGTGGCATCCTTACAATGTGTTTTGCATACACTACCTATGTGAATGTATGAAGTACGCACCATCTGCATTTTGCAGTTGATGGAACCAAGGCTCAAAGAGCTCATACAGAGTGCTCAATCCTGCACAGCTGGCGTGTGCGACGTTTACAATAGACACTCGGGTGTGTGTGAGTTCAAAGTTCAGGCTCTGAGGACGACATTCTGTTGCATCCTTAGAAGGCAATTACAGTACCATGGAGGGCGGGTGGAACTGTGATGCCACAGCAAGAGGCTGAAGCTGGAACGTGCATGGCGAGGTCTTCGCTGCCCACCAGTGTAAAGCTGCTAAAGGCAGGAACTGGGGAATGTGCTTCTTTTATGCAACCACCACAGAGCCAGGATTATCGTAATGACCTCTCACTAAATACGCGTTGAATTATCCATTGTTGGATTTCAGAAAGGCAAGGCTTGTGAACATGTGTAAATAATAAAGGCACAATAAACATAGGCCATTATTTTGTAAGGGTGTTCCTCAGTTACTTGCCCACTTAGTTCCAGTGTTAGCTGAGCGACTACCGGGTCCAGGAAGGCACAACAATCGTCAGTTCTGCAATGCATCTGATAGTCTTCGATGACAGTCTTGTGAATGAAACAGTGAAAGTTGGGTGGAGCATAGTCTTGCCAAGTGAACTGACAATTAGATGGGTCACAACAGCTAATGAGCATGAATCAGTGGCTCTGTGTCCGCTGGGAAGGAATTCTCTAGTGAATTATCTCAGAGATGGGTCCACAGTCTGGGCTGCACAGATAAACGTGCCCAGATAAAACTAGGAAAAAAAGTGCTTGGAAGTGGCATATTGTAGTGGCTAACAGCAAGGGATTTGGCATCAGACATACCTGGGATTTAGTCCTGTCTCTGACACTTGTTATCTAAATGATCTTTGTGAAATTCTTATATATCAAGGTTTAAAACGAACCAAGCAATTATGGTTTGGAAAAAAAACTTGCTTGGTGGAAGACTATGTGAAAAGAGCATCTAGGGGTTTTAGTTGATCATCAGACTTTATTGTTGGGTCCCTAAAGTCTACCTGGCTTGGGCTGTCTCAATGGATGAATAATAGACATCACTAGAAATGATGGTTTTACTGCTTTTTGTTGGCTTGTGTGCTTCGAGGTCATCCTATGGCAAGTTAAAGACCGAACTCGTTCGTGTCATGATGCACAAGGCCACCTACGGTCCGATCCAGACACATCCTCCCTGACCCATCTTCTCCCACTCCCTCCAATGACAACCCTAACCCTCTAAGCACTGTGTTCACACCTGGGCGCTGCAGTCCTTATTGCAGATTTAATCAATAATGCTGGGGAAGCAGAAACATACAAAACAACAAAAATTTACAAAGAACCCTTTTACCTTAAAGGATCCACAGTTTACACCTCTAATTTCATCGCATCCCTATATGATGCAACTAATATGCCATTTTGTATTTTAGTTTCCCCCCTTATAATTTTCCTTATTGTTATTTGTGCTACCTATCATTTTCCACAATTATATATTATTCTACAAACATTCAGCAAATGTTGGGGCCATTCCCAGGTAGTAATCTAAATCCATCTTTGTATAAATTGGTCTTATTTTCCTTCTTAATTCTGAGGTGTAGTTTTATTCTTACAAAATGAGATGATAAAATCAAAGGGCGATCAGTGATGAACTGCTAAGAATGTCAGGTATTTTACATGAGGATTATACTTCATGAAAATGCTATTAGTAATAAATGAATGCTTCTGTTCCTTCATAATACCTCAGAGAGTCTTTGTTTAATAGGATTATTGGAAAGTGGGACTAAAACCAAAAAAGTACCCAAGGTGGTGAGAAATTTAAACCTTGTGGCCTAAAAGGACTAGGAAGAATCTGGAAACTGTTTTCTAACACCTGAAATAATATAACTCAGGGGACCAGAATTCAAGACTATGGATCTGCAAGTTAATAGCTTTGTGATCTCTGGAAAGTCTTTTAACCTTAGGTTCTATCTTCATGAAACAAAGACAATAGACTGCACAATCTTTGTGTTTTAAGACTCTATGATTTGTAAGTTGTTTACAGGCGTGTAACATTTTTTTAAAACTAAAAACAGCTTTCTAACGAGAAGTAAGCAGCCCTGAAAACAGTGTCCCTTCCCTGGAGGTTTGGGTGGGTCTGTCATACTTACTGAGTCACTACCTGTGCAAGATGGTGGTGGGGACACAAATACGTAAACCTTCAGGAAAAAAACACAAACATATGGAAAGTAACAGTAACAATAACACATGCAAACCAGAACTTAAGATCCCATTTTTGAAGTTTGCAATCATGCCTTATTCATGACATTGATTTTTGGCAGCACTTACATTTGTGAGCAGCTGTTTTCAATTATGAAGCACACAAAAACCAACATTTGAACAAACATTTCCAACGAGGACTTTGAGAACTCACTAAGAATTGTGACCATTTCCATTGAACCAGACACTGATAGATTAGTTTTACAAAAACTCGGTCAAATTTCCCACTAGTTTTATATTGTTCTCATTTTTCTAAACTTTATAATAAAAACATTTTTTTTTTTGAGTTGGAGTCTCACTCTGTCGCCCAGACTGGAGTGCAG